TATATATATATATACGTATATATATACGTATATATATACAGTAGAATGCGATTACATACACTCCGAGGACCATTCATGGAGTGAATATTTAAGCAATAATGACGACGTTGTAGCGGTGTGTATCAATAGCCGCCCGTTTGCATATCAAATCGGTTAGTGAGACACAACAATAAGACTTGGGGGACTCATTGCACGACCAGACGCGGTGTGTGGGTGAGTGGGTGGGTTCCGGTGTGTGTGCGTGCGTGCGTGCGTGCGTGCGTGCGTGCATGCGTGCGTGTGCGTGCGGGCGTGTGCGTGCGTGCGTCTGTGTGTGTGTGTGTGTGTGTGTGTGTGTTGCACGTGTGTGTGTATGCGCGCGTCGCTGTGTATGCGCGCGCGTGTGTGTATGCGCGCGCGCGTCTGTGTGTACGCGTGTGCGTGCGGGTGCGTGCGTGCGCGTGTGTGCGCGTGCGTGTGTCTACGTGTGCGTGCGTGTTCAGTGAACATCAGCAGCAGCAACAGCAGCTGCTGGCATTTGCCCGCTCGCCGCAGCCATTCATTTGGCGGCAAGAATCTTTCAGGTCGTGTGACGGTAATGAGACGAATGAAACAGTTACAGATATTCGATTACGACCGAACATACCACTTCCAATTTTACACACGTAGGCGACATCTTCGCGCTCCTGCTGCTTCCAGTTAAGAGATTAGACGCGCGGCTAGGCCGTCTTTAATTGCCGCGCGGATGTTACAAGCCGTGCCTCGTTTGTTTCGTGTCCGCCTTGAGACGTGTAATTGGGACCGGATGTTAACGGAAAGGCAGACTGAGAAATGCGTCGGAAGAAATGCGAGCACGCAGGGGCCCGACAATGGAGTCGGCAGTGTGTAGGGGGCTGCCCCGGCAACGAACGATTCCGGAGAATTGCTATATTGCGTTGTAATGAAAGATTTTGAGACTGACTGTAACCCATCATGTGTGTGTTGTATATGTTGCTCACCCGACAATTGCTCCATTCGACAATTTCCGGATGAGAAAATGGCAGGTGAAAAAACATGTTGACATCTCTTGTAACTATATATTATATATATATATATATAAATATATATATATATATATCCGGCTGCCATCAGCGCTGCATCCGTTCCATTCTTGGCATCCACTGGAGTGACTTCGTCCCAAATGTCGAGGTCCTCGTGCAGGCGGAGGCCCCCAGCATTGAGGCCATGCTGTTGAAGACACAATTACGTTGGGCAGGGTATGTGTCCAGAATAAAAGACCAACGACTGCCTAAGATTGTTCTGTACGGATCGAGAGCTGTCATCTGGAAACCGCAACTTAGGGGCACCAAAGAAGAGGTTCAAAGACAGTCTCAAGTTTTCCCTCAATGCCTGCCACATCGACCCCATCACTGGCCTACTCTGGCTGCTGACCGCCAGGACTGGAGACGCACCGTTCACCAGGCTGTCTCCTGTTTTGAAGACACTCGCGGAACCAGACTGGAAGATAAGAGGAGCAGGCGGAAGCAGCGCAGCAGCACGATCCCCATCACCGACCAGACTTTCATCTGCAGCCACTGTGGCCGGACCTGCCTGTCCCGTATCGGCCTTAATTGTCAGTCACCAGCACACATGCAGCAGACGTGGACAACTGCCTTCTTAGATCTTCGTTCGCGAAGCCAGGCCAAGATATATTATATATATATATAACGCACAGCGCCGTCTGTCGATAAAATCATGCAAAAATGAATCTAAATCATGGTGCCACCAACGATCGAGGCGTTTGCTGAAGAATTATGGTAGCTTAGAACAATTAATTCCACGAATTGTATAAGCATTATTACAGAGCGCATGTGAACGAACGGGTATGCTATGTCATAAGAATCATAAGACTCATTTACTGACTGTAAATTTAGTAATGATGCCGTGTATTATTAATTATATCCTAAATAATCTATGAATGCCTTATTTCGTGTGCTGTGAACCTGAGCTGTGAACTCTCCCTTATCGCTATTGGCTGCATTGTCGTGACGTCACAATGTGAGCCTCCTGTTTACGTGTTGCTATGCTACGTTACGTAGTTTGCTGTTGATTTTCTTTGGACTTGAGGCTGGGAATAATTTTAGAAGGACGTTGTCTTGACGCATTGACAGATAGCTCACTTCAGGTATTTATTATAAGCTCGTATAATGCAATGATACCATATGGTATTTCCACTGATACAGAGAAAAAAAATTGCGCAGAGTGATTGGTGAATCAGTGAGTGGCATTCCATTATTCATCGAGCTAGGTGCAGTCTCGGTCTAAGTTCTAACCCCACCAGGCTGTGTGACTAACGTCAACTGTGTGACTAACGTCAAAATCCGGCATTCTAATTTCTAACCCTAGCAATACCGTTTCTTGGAGCTAGGTGCAGTCTGCAGAGTGCATTTTAGTTCTGATTCTGTTTTTACGTGCACCAAAATTTTACTGTCCATGTTACAGATGGCCACAACCGTGAGTTAATAATATGCATGCCTACTCCATACGTTAACATACATAAATGTGCTGCTTAGGGAGATGGTGCGGACGCTGCAAAATAGCTCGAGGCAGCACCGCCTTCACAACCAAGAAGTTTAAGATTAACTCCATGTCTCTCGCAGGTTTCGGCATCATGTCAACGAGGCTTGAAAAGCCTTCGATGCGGTTCACGGTGCCGGACTGGCACACCGCTAACATGACCATGGTGGCTAGCGGAGAGCAGCAGCGAGGGAAGTCAAGACAGTGCCGCGAGGAGGCCCGCCAGATGCAAAACGAAGCGGAGATTACTAGTAAATGGGACCAGCAGGAGAACACCACGCGCCTTGCACAAAGGTGCCTTTTAGCATCCTCGTAAAATAAATGTTCTTAACCCTTCTGCAACAAAATAGTATTACCAGTAATTTTAGTATTTTTTCCAGAATTATAGGTTATACTATCATGCTAAACGTATGCGTTTAAAGACAAAAACAGTATCTTTGTATCTGCTAAATTTCTGTTTTTTCGTGCTCGCGACAGGGTGGGCGATATTGAATATTGGAAGAACACACTGGAGAAATGTTTGAGCGACATCGACAGCGAGATAGCGTCGCTCTCTGAAGCCAAGCATCACACAGAGAACGCCCTCGAGGCCATGGCCGTGCCGCTAGACGTAGCACTTGAGTGCCTGACTTTGCGAGAGGGCAGAGAGGGCACGGACATTGTCGCGGATGGGGTGGAAGACCAGCTCAACACCGAAGTGCAAGTATGTGCTCTCGTAATTTCTCTATACACCTGCCTGCCATTTATAAGCACGAGTTTCAACATTGCACACTATGCAGGGAGCGTCGTCACAGACCAAATACCTCAGTAATGTACATACGAAAAAGTAGAAACCTCAAACTAGGCAGGTACAATATATATAGAGCTACCTGTGCTTGAACATTTGGCTCAAAGCTAAGTTCATGTACTCATAAATACACCTTTTAGATTCCCTATCCATCAGAAAAACTACAAATGACATCAGATATGCATATTAACAGGTATCATTAAGAAGTTAGTGTATATTATGTGTTATGCTTTTGTTATGTTTCTTGTATGCAAGTAAGATGTGTGATTTACGTGTTGTGTTCCCTGTAGGTGATTGCTCAGGCGAAGCAGCAGCTACAGCAGCGATGCAGAGAAGGATTTGAAAAGCTGATACAGCTACAGGAAGCTCGTCAGCAGGTGGTGCTGGATCTGCAGGTAAATGCAGCTTCCTCTTCCCAGCATCATCTTCTAACATTACATCACTTTAACATCACCTCATAGCATCACCTCATAGCATCACCTCATAACATCACCTCATAACATCACCTCATAACATCACCTCATATAACATCACCTCATATAACATCACCTCATAACATCACCTCATAACATCACCTCATAACATCACCTCATAT